CTAGTAAAAGCGACTCCACCACAAGGTATATTTAGCAAGCTAGCTTTTACGTTGCTCTGACACTCAGGGTAGACTTTGGCTGACTGGGATCACAGTCAGCGACACAATATTTCAATACAACTCTGTACGACACAATGCAGTTTATATGATGTCAAAAAACTTAAGTACAATTATTTTAAAATAATGAACATTTCAGACAATATTCATATTGAGATCTTCGGTTATATATAATAATACAAATAATACCATATCACACTGATGTTACACAAAATAAGCTATAAAAACACATATGAGGTAAATGATGATTTATTTGAGTATACTGGTAAATGTAACTAAAGCGAGTAGACAGGGCCCTTAACCCCACTACCTGCTGCCTGCGCTCAAGGATTGAATAAAGCTGAAGAGGGTTGCTTGCATCCAAGTATATTTGTCAATACGCAAATATAAACTGTTAAAATATTGAATTTTTACAGATAATTAACCTGCCAATTTCGTGTCCCTACATAAAGAGTAGATCGAAAACAATCTGCTAGTGCTTTTAAGTTCGATTGCAGCAGAGAAGATATCTTTTCATCCCCTAGGTGGCGTTGTAGTATCAATTAAATTTCGAAAAGACCATTTGCTGTAATAGATTTCATAAGTAAAATTTGATATTGTGGGTGATTTGGAGTGTTTTGGACTTGTTTGTTCATAAATGTAAGTCTGTGTGCAAAAAAAAAAAAAAAAAAAAAAATGGATAGATGTCAATATTGATTATTCAATATTTTCATGGAAAAAGTTATACAATTTAGACGTGTTTTATCAGGCAAATGCTATACCTTGGTCTGGGATCATGTCCAGTTTGAAAAAAGCAAGCAAAAAATAAAATAAATAAATAAATAAATAAATAAATAAAATCTCCATATTTGGGCTCTCTGTTATGCAGTAAAATAACGTATAAGGTGAGCTATATTTTTATTAAGTATTAATGATTGGAACACCGATTCAATTTGTCACTTCAATGACGGATTTCAATATATATAATGTCTTTTTTCATAGTTTCATGCACCTGGATGATGATTACAAGTTTTTAAACCAAACAGCAAAAACAGTAAAGGGACAATGCATAACGTGAACTGTGTTCAGCCACAAAAGTGTGCCAGGAAAAGTATTTTTTTTTATATCTAGGTTAAAAAAGATTAAAAAGTGCCATGTCTTAGATCTAAGTGTTTCTCATTATAGAAGATCTGGCAAGGGATAAATAAGGGTGAGCTGGAAGACGGGGTAAGTGCTGATGAGGACTATATATATATATATATATATATATATATATATATATATATATATATATATAAATATATTGCATTTGCATTTGTAAAGAAGATGGATCTTTAGTTATTTACCATGTTTACAAATATATGTGCGTCATGACAAAGCAAACATTTCTTTTTATTCAATTTCAGGTGCAAATATAAGATTAAATCTGTATCAGGTCGAAGAATACGAAACTTTGGTATAAATATTTTCTTTAAAATCTGCAAATCAAAATAATTAATACAATCTAGACAAGTGGAATAATTGTTGAATGCAAATGAAAAACTGCACACATGTGGACCTTCATTGACATCTACCCTCTGTTATAATCTCTTAAGAGATTGACAGTCCATGTGGTCACACTGTTATTTGTTAATGGACATACCTTTGCTCTTTCTTCATCAATTTTATCACACAGCTTTTTTTGCTTCTTGTTTTCATCTTCATTTGTACTATTGCATAAAAAAGATAATTTGGGATATTATCTATTTTGAAAAAAACTATTGCAAATGATATAGAAATGATCATTTTACTACCATCCTGATAGGCCTATCTAGATCATAAATCCCTGTACAAAGCAGAGTATCGGTGATAAGAATTTGAGAATTTTGAAGCAGTGAAAGATAATCAAAGATGAAAATTAGCAAACCATTCAAATATCATGGAATCGACGAGTTTATTGATGAGTTGAAATATCAGTGAACACTAAAATGTCAGAAAACAAAATATTTGTCCTGGTTATTCAGGTAATTTTGTATATTTTTTACTTTCTGATGTGACACACCAAATAGGTTGAACATTCTTTAGTTAACCAGTGGTACTCACTTCACTTTACTGGCATGTTCTTCAACCTGCTGCTTGTCTTCTGTCCTCAATTTTAAGCCAGAGGGACAAAGACTTGATGTTGCCTATTGAAATAAAAAATAACGAAGGATTTAAATTTCAATTAAGTCAAGATGTTCATTATGAGGCTATGTAGAATCAAACAGTTTAAATGAGCTGTCTGGGTAGATGAGAAAACATGGTAATTAATTTTTTTTTTGTTTGTTTGTTTGTCTGTCATCAACATAACTCAAAAAGTTATGGACCGATTTTTATGAAATTTTCAGAAACCGTCAGAAGTGGGCCAAGAAACAGACAATCAATAATCAATAATCAAAAATAACGAAAATTTAGGGGTGAAATGGCATTGGGTGGAGACTTTGCTGTCTTGGCGGAGGTCTGCGCTCTCGGAGTGCTTTTCTAGTTATGTATGTGACTGATTGGTGTTGATATTCATAATAAAATTTCAAGAGTAAACATTTTTATGTCATTGGTTGCAATCTAATTTAGATGAAACATGGCACTTTTGTTTAGATGTAATTTCATCATGAATATCTTGGGCTAATGGCTCACGAGGTTGAATATAATGGGAGTAAGCCCCCCTTCCCCGGCTCATCCGCCGATGTTTTAAATTGCCTTCAAGTGGTATGCTCAACATAAAAAGAAAACTCACAGAGCTCACACTTTCACTAATGGAAAAATATAATCAACACCCCCCCCCCAAAAAAAAAAAGTAGGAAAAAAACTCATATAACAGCAGTTTGTGGCACAAGTATAAATCATGGTGAATTGTGAGGAACAACAGTTGCAATCAAAACGCTGCGTTGGAGTGTTATCGACTTTCGATAGTCAACTTGTCGTGTGCAAAATTCTTGAAAGGCGGCAAAGGGTCAACGTGCCGTGTGCAAAATTCTTGGAAGGCGGCAAAAGATCGACAAAATACTTATTTGACTGAAATCACAAAACAAATAGTTCAAGGCTGTTCTTTCCATTGATCTCACTCCCTATGAAATACATTAAGCAGTAAGACGGTTGTCTGCCACCTCGCTTTGTGTGCAAAAGTCTCCAGCGAGACAACATGGCGGCGTCCATCGCAGGGAAAGGTCTAGAAACAAATGACACAGTTTATGACGACTTTTCTGATGCATTTTCAGTTGTTCAGAAAGAGTTAAATCATCTGAAATTTTGCTATGATAATACTGTGTATCAAATTGAGAAATTCGTGAAAACTTGTCCTCATGTCAATATTGAACAATTCCTTCCTAAAGACACACAGGAACGTGTTCAACGGGTCATCACGACGCAGCCGGCAATCATTGTGATCGGACAGTCAAACTGTGGAAAAAGCAGTTTAATAAATGAAATTCTACGAGGTTCTATTCTCCCAACCGCAGAGGTACCGTGCACTTCGAAAATTGTTCGACTGAAACACAGCCGTGAGCCATACTTTCAAGAATTAGACAAAGATGGTAACTGTATTGAAGGAAAACCGAAGGAGACGCTAACTAAAAAGTTAAAGGTACCTCGATCAGTTGTTGCTGTACCGGGAGCAGAGCGGAATGACAAGAGTAAAGTTGAAGGTGTTGTGGAAGTGGGGTTTGATCACCCCCTGCTGGAAAAGGGCATTTCTATCGTTGATGCACCTGGATTCAGTGAAAATGCTACCTTGGATTCTCTTG